GGTTTGAAATTAATTATGGCTTATGAATTTTTTTCAAAAATAAAATTACCTAAATTAGGCGTGATTGCCTCTTGATTGAAACCCAATTTAGACATCATTGGTGACGTGTCAGGTGTTGACACGTGTCACATTTTTAAACTCAGAAGCCTCTGTGTTTTGGGTTTGTGATTTAATATAAAAAATAAATCAAGATTTGATGTGTGATTTAAATTAAAAAATAACAATTATTATTAATAAGGAAAACAAAATAAAGATTTGATTTGTGATTTAAACTCAAAAATCAATTTGAAAAATCTGTATTAATAAAGGAAATAATTAAATAAATATTCTAAATCTCTAAGGAAGAAGGATTACCTGATTTAAATTTAAATTATGTTTGTGAGAAATAAAATATGTCAAATAAGATGTTATTGCGTAGATCTCGAAAATTTATGTGGAATCAAAAAAAGAATTACCCGATTTGGATACCCGAGTAAAAAATTATGGCCTTCAGAAGTTTTATGATTAAATTATATTTTTTTGAAAAAAAATATGACACATGTCAACACCTGATAGTGACGCCTAAATTAGGCGTGATTGCCTCTTGAGTGCGAGTTGGCTCCCTCCGGTATCCCCACGAGCTTCGACTCTTTGAGCCGGCTATGGGACTAATCCGGAGTGCGGGGGAACAGTGACCTTACACAAATTTTTGATATTCTTCTTGACTTTCTCCCTAATTTGTTCCCTAATTTCTACCTTAGGAATTTCCTTCATCCAATACCTGACTTTGTTTTTTCTTGAATTTCCTTTATTTGATTTCTCTTAATTCACATCAGGAATTTTTAAAAAATAAAATAATATATACTTGATAAATGGGTGTTCCCATTCCTTGATTCCAATTTAAATTCACAATAATAATAAAAGTGCTCTGTTTCACTTCTATGAGAATAAATGATTGTTTGGATGAGTTTTCAAAAAAAAATATTTTTATATTTTATTTTTTTTAGATTACTTTTTATAAAAGTTAAAGTTATTTAGATTTTTAAAAAATATTTAGTTTTTGAAAAATTATTTGTGTTTTAACTTATGTTATTTTTAGAAGCTAAAATTTTCATTTAAAAAAAAAGATTTTTAACTTTTTTTTATGACTTTTACTCTTTTTAAAAGTAGACGTCCAAACATATTTCTCCCATAAATGTTTTTTTTTCCTGAAGTAAAACAACTTTTGAAGAGAGAAAAACCCATCCAAAGAGGCCCTAATAATTTTTTAATGACATGGAAGAAAATGAGAAAAAAAGATTAAAAAAAGATGACGCTAATTTTTTTTAATTTTTGATTTCTATTATTGTAGTTGCTTTATTTTTCTTCTCTTCAGTCAATTGAGAAAAGATTTGAAACTTTAAAAACTTTTTTCCATTTTCTCCTCTCAATCCAAAGATGAGGTTAAGGCATGACAACTATATATTAGCATATGATATTAAAAAATAAAATGGTCAAGGGAATGAGAAAAAAAATGTGAATTGTGAAGACGATTGAAAAATAATAGTTAAAACTATATATTAGCAATTGTCGTAAAAAAAACTATATAATAAAATATTATAAATTTTTATATAATTTTTTAAATATAAAATTTAGTATTTCGGTTAAAATCTATTGTCATTTGCAATTTTATACAGTTGATGAAATCTATAAACAAAAGTAAAGAAATAGATTTTTATTGTGTTATCAAACGTAATTTTGATTATCGGAATAAAAAAATGTGTTATCAAACGTAATTCTGATTCTCGGAATAAAAATAAAATATGTTAACAAACGTAATTCTGATTCTCAGAATTGTTCCAAGGCACAGAAATAGAAAAGAATCATTCCTTTTCAGAAACAATGCCAGGAATCAGAATGATTGTCATGCGCAGCCTAATTGTCGTTGATTATATATCAGAGCAAACATACAAAAATGCACTAACTTTTTCGATAAACATTTCAAACATAAAATTTCACTTTCCTCCCACAACATAATAAGTAATGAACCAAACATTATTCTAATTGATCTCAGAATATGTTTTTAAATGAATAATATAAATCATCATATATTATATTATTAAAAAATAAAAGGTATGTGTAATTATGATAAATGTTTGACATGTCAAATTTTTTGCCCCAACTAAAGTTAAATTCTGGCTCCGCCATTGTGTGGAGCCATTCTTTTGGACGTTAGACAGTTTTTTTTTTCTTGCCCATCAGTGGCGGAACCACATTATGCTTAGGTAGGGTCGGAGCCCCAGCTACATTTCAGTAAATTTTATTTATTATATATAATTATATAAGTAACTGTAATTTTTGCTTTTTTTATAATAGAAATCTAAAATAACTTATAGTGAAAAATATATCTTTTTACTTATAAAATGCAATTTTTGAAAAAAAAATTCATTCAAACGGGTCGTTAATCTTCACCTCTGCTATTTTTAAAATTTTTGAAAAGTTAAAAAATAAAGAAAGAAAGATAAAAAGTTTTTTTTAATATTGCTCTTAACTTTGATCAATCTGATACCGCCAATCCCATGGGAATAACAAATTACATGTTATGGAATAAAAAAATCAACAGGGTCAAATTAGGTAAGAAAAATAATGAACTAGTAAGAAAAAAAAATGAATATCGTCAAATTATATAAGAAAAAGCATTGAACGTGTATAAAGTAGGAACTGTTTTAAAAAACTAATGAATAACTTTAATTTGGATTTCGAAATGGTAATCCAAATATTGAATTCTGGAAATTATTGGTATTTATTCCCTTCTTTATATTGTTCAATATCAGATTAATTACCATTTAATAGTCATCATATTAACGAAATTGGACTTTTTTCCTTACACACGTTTCTCATTTTCATCATATTAATTACCATTCAATATTGTCATCATATTAACATTGAACATGTATAAAGTAGGAGTTGTTATAAAATACTAATGAATAACTTTAACTTGGATTTTGAAATGGTAATTCAAATTTGAAATCTGAAAATCATTGGTATTTATTCCCCCTTTATGATTGGTCAATACCAGGTTAATTACCATTCAATATTGTCATCATATTGGACTTTTTTCCTTACACAAATTTCTGATATTCTTCTTGACTTTCTCCCTAATTTGTTCCCTAATTTCTATCTTAGGAATTTCCTTCATCCAATACCTGACTTTGTTTTTTCTTGAATTTCCTTTATTTGATTTCTCTTAATTCATATCAGGAATTTTTAAAAAATAAAATAATATATACTTGATAAATGGGTGTTCCCATTCCTTGATTCCAATTTAAATTCACAATAATAATAAAAGTGCTATGTTTCACTTCTATGAGAATAAGTGATTGTTTGGATGAGTTTTCAAAAAAAATATTTTTATATTTTATTTATTTTAGAAGTACTTTTTATAAAAGTTAAAGTTATTTAGATTTATAAAAAATATTTAGTTTTTGAAAAAATATTTGTGTTTTAACTTATGTTATTTTTAGAAGCTAAAATTTTCATTTAAAAAAAAAGATTTTTAACTTTTTTTTATGACTTTTACTCTTTTTAAAAGTAGACGTCCAAACATATTTCTCCGATACATGTTTTTTTTTCCTGAAGTAAAACAACTTTTGAAGAGAGAAAAACCCATCCAAAGAGGCCCTAATAATTTTTTAATGACATGGAAGAAAATGAGAGAAAAGATTAAAAAAAAAAGATGACGCTAATTTTTTTAATTTTTTATTTCTATTATTTTAGTTCCTTTATTTTTTTTTCTCTTCAGTCAATTGATAAAAGATTTGAAACTTTAAAAACTTTCTTCCCTTGTCTCCCATCAATCCAAATATAAGGTTAAATTATAGAGAATCATCTCATTCTTCTAATAAAAACAAAAAGAGAATTATCTCGTATTTTAATTAAAATATATCATTTGTCCTCTCTTTATTGACAAAACTATTTATGTCTAAAAGGACATAATTTACGTCCTTTAAAAGGACACACTAAATCCCTCTCTTTTTTCCTGATTTGATCGGAATACTTTGAGCCATGAGAGTACAAATGAGGGCAAAAATTCATGAATCAATTTTATTAGTAAATTATGTTTAAGATATATCCATGAAAATTTTATTCTTATTTTACCACAATACATAGTACAATCTAGAATTAATTTATTATGATTACATATTTTTCTATTCTTTTAACTAATAATAAACAAATTTGTTTAACATTAATTTCAATCTAGCATTTTATGAGCCAATCCTAATCATCATGACTCATGAGAGATCTAAATAATAAATTACCCTCTTCGTTAAAAAAATATTCCAAAGCATATGCACCTTTTCTTTCTTTTTCCGAGCATATGATTCACTAGGGGTGTTCGCGGTCTGGATTAGATCGATTTTGGAAGCAAAATTCATCCGATCCAATCCCTTCGTTTTGATCATATAATCATCCCTTCGGTTTTGATTTGTTTTCAAATCCGATCCGATCCGATCCAATCCAATTTTTTTCGGTTTGGATTGAATTATCTAATGTTTCCTTTTTCAACTATACCCTCTTCCTAAATATGTTCCTACCTATTATCTAGATTACCCCTTAACCTCACCTTAACAGATAAAGAATCTCAACTTTTATAGCCTTTCAAAATCTATCCCCCGGTAGTTAAGATTCGCCTCTTCTAAACACAAGTAGCTGTACTTTTTTTTCCTTTTTTTTTCAGTGAAAATAAGCAAGCAGCTGTCAACTCCATTTTCAAAGTAAACGCCATTGCTATATATAATTGACTCAAGGTCAAACTCCTCGCTACCATCTGTACAAAAAAGTATGTCTTGAAATACAAATTGCCAACACTAAATAAGTACACATGCAGCGCGTTATGGGAGGGATAACATACGCTTATGCACTCATGGTTTCAGATTAAAATCTTCCAAAAAAACATATGAGTAGGGTCAAGTTTTCACTGAAGTGAAATCATAGCATTCTATTTATCATGCTCCAGCAAGAGCAAAAACATGCAGTGACACACTAATATCATATTCACAGGTTCTGTACAACTAGCTGAGTTTTCTCAGTAATCATTATTTAGAGGAAAAAAATGTAATCCACTTTTGCCAACTGTAGAATGTGTTGGGCAAAGTATACTATAAAACCCCAGCTAAAGCAGCAGAGATAGTGGTTTATGGGGTGTCAACCTGTCAGTAGGTCAAAATGCTTTACAGAGGTTAGCCCTCATGTTATATAAACCTTGCTGATGAATTGGAACTGCCCACAACTTGCTCCTCTTTGGTTCAGATATCCTTACATGTGAAATTGCATTGGCAAGTGCATCAATCCACACACAAACATCATGATATTCTGAATTGCAACTTTCAGATGATGAAGAAAGGCTTGAAACCTCATTAAGGAACCCATCATCCATCCTGTTTCTTCCTAACCTAGGTTCAGGTGCAGCAACAAAGTTGTGGCAAGCAGCTCCATTTTGGTGCTTCAACTTTGATTCAACGGGCAGGATCTTCAATGTACGTTCTGTGTAGAAAGATATCCATGGATGTCCTGAAATTGAACCACATAATATTAATTTAACATGCAAACAATCGAACAGTTCTTAAAACTTAAAAGTACTGTCATTTTATTTCCTGTTTAAAAACATTAGGGAGAAAAAGAGAGCCTCAACCACATAGAAGAACACATAATAAAAACTAACAAAAGTATGTGAGAATTAACAGATTCCCACCACTGTTATCCCAACCAAAACAAGGCAATCCTTCTAATTATTAAGAATTCATGTGAAAGGCAAAGATACTTTTCAACAAAACTTGGAAATTTCTAATTTTAATTATTTCAAGATTAAAAAACAAAAAATCAGACCAAATACAACTAGTCTTTGGTGTATTCATCATTGAGGAAGAGAGATAAAGCACGCTACAAAACATTAATAATCTACCATAAACTTACTAAGTACTTCATCAGCTGTTATCCTTGCTGAAATATCCCTTGTCAGCATTCTCCCAACAAGATCTCGTGCAGGTTTAGATATTGATTCCCACATCCCGGTTTGGAACTCTAGCTTGGAATTCTTAATAGCCTCAAAAACTGCTTCTTGTGAATCCCCTTTAAATGGAAGAACACCAACCAACAGAGCATGCAGGAGCACTCCAGCACTCCATATATCCGCCTTTTCTGAGTATCTACCCAACAACACTTCTGGTGCAACATATGCAGGGCTCCCAGCCAAACCCGTCAAGTTCTGACCTGCAATGCAAATTTCTAGACAATGAGGCTATGCATAAATTACTCATGTATGCATGTATGTATCTTTTACTTATGTGTGTGTATTTATATATATGTCAATTGAATTACTGATATTTTTAAATGCTTAAAAATTAAACAAAGTGACCTTAGAGTATGAATGGTTAGCTTCAAACTATTATAAGCATTTTCTCTAGGACCTCTTATTCTTAGACCGCTAGCAAATTTAATTGAATACTGAACATAGTAAACTTAAGGGAGATGACCATTTGAACTCTCCAATTTTTACTCCTATGTACAGGGTAACATTAGTAAAGTACAATTCAGTTGAAAGCTCATCATGATGAACTTCTTCAAACTTGCCTAGACATTTTTTATTAACAGAATGACTAGGATGGAATTTTACACAAGGAAGGTTGTGTAAGGATTCTATTCATAGAAGTTAGCACATATATATACCATAGGATAACAAAAAAAGAAGATCATCCAAACAGGTTTAACATATTACCCTTAGAAATTCTCATGGCCAGGCCAAAATCAGCAAGCTTTATTTCCCCCGAAGCAGTAAGCAGAATATTCTCAGGCTTGATATCTCTGTGCACAACTCCCATATCATGACAATACTTGATGACCAACATCACTTCCTTAAGTATATTAGCAGCCCGCTGTTCAGAACAAGGGCCCTCCCTAAACATCTGGTCGACAAGTCTTCCCCCAGAGCACAATTCCATCACCAGATGAGAGCAATCAGCTTCCTCATACACTGCCAGCAGAGTCACAACCCCAGGATGCCCAGACAAGTGCTGCATTATCTCCACCTCCCTGTAAACAGTCTCATCCCCCTTCTTCAGAGTCTTACACGCATACTCCGCGCCGCCAACAAGAGACCTACACAACGAAACAGATCCATACTTTCCTTGCCCGATCCTCACCCCAGTAACATAATCATCTTCAATCTTGTTCTTCCTCCCCATCTGGGTAGCCACGTCAATGCAACCTATCTTCCTCTTTAGGCCTCTTCCCGCGGTCATCAGAGACAATGTCCCACAAGGAGGAGCAGTGGCAAAACCCGCCACCCTACTCTTGTAGGAACCAGCTGAGTCTATCTTAGTATTTTCTCTACACCTCTTCTTCAACCTCGAACAATCTTCCATCGAATAATGGGTCTCAAAATTGGACGACGGAGACCCATGATTGGATCTCAAAATGTCAGTCAATTTCGAGGACTCGTCACACTCACTTCCTTTCCTTTTCATCCTCATAGCATCTATCAGTAAAGTACCAACGCAACACCAATCTTTGTGTTGATCACGTACCCAGTGTGCAAAATCCGATTTTTGCCGCAAGACACAATTCTGCAGTCAAAATAGAGAAAGATCAGTCAACGAATGGCGCCAAAAAGCGCCATCTAGACCCCTGCAAGACAGATTGAAACAAATCATCCCAACCAATGTAATGCGTTGCAAAACCACAAAAGGAAAGCATGAAACCCTAAAAACTACAAATATTAAACTTCTGAGAGTCACACTCTTTTTGCTTAGCTAACGTTGTTTCCTTTAATATAATATAGGATGTTCCAGTTTATGTTCTCCTGCGTGCGTCACTATTTCAAGGGGTGTATTTGATTACGATTTTAAAAAATTTCCTCAATCAGTGGAATAAAAAAATCAACAGGGTCAAATTAGGTAAGAAAAATAATGAACTAGTAAGAAAAAAATGAATATCGTCAAATTATATAAGAAAAAGCATTGAACGTGTATAAAGTAGGAACTGTTTTAAAAAACTAATGAATAACTTTAATTTGGATTTTGAAATGGTAACGCAAATATTGAATTCTGGAAATTATTGGTGTTTATTCCCTTCTTTATATTGTTCAATACCAGATTAATTACCATTTAATAGTCATCATATTAACAAAATTGGACTTTTTTCCTTACACACGTTTCTCATTTTCATCATATTAATTACCATTCAATAGTCAACAAATTTCACATAAATGTTTGACTTTTTTGCAATTTATGCTTTTTTAAAATAGAAATCGCAACTAACGTATAGTGAAAATATTTTTTTCCTTAAAAATGCAGTTTTTGAAAGAAAAAAAAAATTCAAACAAGTCCTTAATTTTCACCTCTGCTATTTTTTAAATTGTTGAAAAGTTAAAAAAAAAGAAAAGATAAAAAGCTTTTTTTGTAATATTGCTCTTAACTTTGATCCAATCTGATACGCCAATCCCATGGGAATAACAAATTGGATTTTTTCCTTACACACATTTCTCATTTTCATCATATTAATTACCGTTCAATATTGTCATCATATTAACATTGAACATGCATAAAGTAGGAGTTGTTATAAAATACTAATAAATAACTTTAACTTGGATTTTGAAATGGTAATTCAAATTTGAATTCTGAAAATCATTGGTATTTATTCTCCCTTTATGATTGGTCAATACCAGGTTAATTACCATTCAATATTGTCATCATATTAGGAGGAACCATACCAGGTTATTATGTCAGCAATGATATCCTTACCCATGATAAACGAAAATTATGGTTGCCCTTGACTTTCCATATCATCAACATGCTCTTTTCTCTATGTTTTTTCTTATTCCATTTTTTAAACCGAAACATTATCATCATAGTGTATTATTATACCGTTACTACGTTTGAGTTCTTTACAAGTACGTACAATTACAGCTGCGATCACTTCTGATCTTTCTAAGGACGTATTTGGTACTGCTTCCTTTACTACAGCAACAACAATATCACCAAAAGAGGCATATCGTTTATTATTAGCTCCTATAATTCGAAGACACATCAATTCTCGGGCTCCACTATTATCCGTTACATTCAAACGGGTTTGAGGTTGAATCATATTATTTTTGGGTTTGTTCTTTCCAGTTCAAAGGTTGAAGTGACAAAAATGATAGAACCCGGTACTTTTAACCTTGAATAAAATTCATTAAACCAGTAATGAAAAAGAATTGAAGTGAGTAAACATAAACAGAAAAACCAAAATCATGGAGGATGCCAATTTCGCAAACTATGTAGTATACACACCTGGAATGGAATCTAGGTTGGTTCTGCTTATGCTGTATTTAGTGTTAAAAAGATATAAAATTATTAATATAAATCACCTAGTGCCTTAAAGTTTTGGGTTAAAAAGATTTTTTACCATTAATGTTGCATTATGTAGGTTAGGTTCTGTGTTAACAGTATTGAGCTTGGAAAATTTCACACGGCAAAATAATGTATCGATTATGTATAAATTATAATCTATATATATTTGTTAGTTGTGGTTATGATGACTGAAGTTACTGTTTAGACCATATAATTACTTCTTCATGAATCGTGATATTTTTTAATTAAAGTGGCATGGACAAACCCCATGCCACTTTAACTGATAGTTTATACAACTCAGATAACTTAAACATAACAGAAATCAAAGTGGCATGGACAAACCTCATGCTCACCCAAATAAGACAACAAGCCCAACAGAAGTCTCAACAACAGCAACATACTAAAAGTAAGCTAAAAACATAACATCAGCAGATATATCCAGCATCCAAACATGACAGCATATAAACAGCAATAATCATCAACTGAGCTCCGACCTCCCTCTGCCAGAGGCATCAGCCCCCAAGTTACCTGAACCTGAAATAAGCGTCCCCAAACGTGGGGTGAGATCTCTAAACAAGAAATCTCAGTAAGACAAGGGGTCCTCAAGGATCTTCCACCCCAAGCTCACTTACACGTGCAATATCAGTTCAAAAGCATTTAACAGTATAAGTTCCAAAACTCAATGCAGTGCAACAGATATTCATGCCATGTGTGTTATAACTATTCTACTGGCCAGAGAAATGCAGGAATACGTCTATTACCTACAGTTAGTACAAGAAACATCGCTTGCACCTCACCCACAGCCTCACCCTCTTATATGTACCACATACTCAGGCTTACCGTATAGGTGGAACACCACATGCATATCATAAAGGCACTCGCATATGACAGCTCAACAGCATTTCAACAAATCAATATATCATGAAAACAACATCATGCATATAACCATACCCCCATGGGACATGGTGAAACCAACAATGACTAAACCGAGGACACGAAAGCTTACCTTGCAAGCTAACAATCTAAGCCAAGAGTCCAACCAATCTCAAAGCCCAAACACAGCAGAATCACAATCTGTTTTGGACCAACAATCATATCAAAATCATACTCAACAAGTATAAGACGCAAGGACAACGTCTTTCCTTTACATTTCATGTCTTAAGGCTTCTCACAAAGCCACAAGCCCTTAATCACTTAGATTCTGACTTAACTAATCAATACAGAAGCTCAACTTAACCAGTCTAGGGTCCACAAACCCCAAACATCATTCTGTATGAACAGTGCAGCTACTGTTCTTCGAAAACTCAGAATATCTGGATATTTGTCGGGGGCATATCCGGATATCAATATCCGGATATTTCGCGACAGAATGCAGTTCTGAATTTCGCGAGATATCCTTCTAAAGATTGGGTTTTTAACTTATTCCAACGTCCAAGCATGCATTTTTACACTTCTTTAGGTTCATATACTGGGTGGCTACTTGTTTAATTCATTAAACATGCTAAGACATCTCTTTTAATCATTAAAACTCAAGATCAAAGATTGTTAACACTTACCCAAGCTCAAAACAGAGCAACAATGGCTCTTGGAGCTCTCCAAACTGTCTCAAAGGTTCTGACTTAGAAGGTGCACGGAAATGGCACACCATAATGGTTCTCTCTTCACAAAGGTTGCTCCTTGAAGCTTCCACAACCAAGGAAAATGGCTCCTAAAACCCAAGCAAGGAACTCAGCCCAAAGAACCTCCCAAAACAGCAACCCCAACTCAGAATGGAGCTCACCACACACTCCTCATGATAGTTCCCACCCACCCAAGGTGTTTAAGTGAAGAAGCAACCAAGAGAATGATCAGTTGGTTGAGTTTTTGGTCAAGAAAAATGGAAGAGAGCAATGGAACAGTAGCAAACTGATCAGCCACCCCAACAAGTCACGTAGGAATGCAAGGTGCCTAGTGTTTTGGGCCAAGTTATGTATTTATAGAGGTTTAAGTCATTAAACACACAATATTAGCATTAATTGCTACGCTTAGCATTTTAATCCCAAACTTAGGATTCTGAACCTACTCATTTTTCTAAGATTTATCATATTTTTATTTTATTTTTCGCAGCACCTTTCCGGTACGCGCTTTTCCATAGCCAGTATTAGTTCTGGCACCAGTTCTCATTATTTTCACTTGAAACTTGTTTTACAAGTCTTATATATTATTCTAGTGACATATACACACTTTTTATAATTTTTCGGGATACTTCATCGGTACGCAATTATACCGAGTAGCAGAACCGGTATCTGCATTTTTTCGTCCGAAAAGCGACTTTCAGCATTCTTAATCACTTTCTATATTTATTTAAGCCTTCTTATAATTATTAAGGTCAATTATGGAATTATTTCCTAATTTCACACATTTAATTAATTATTTTCCTTAATTAACGGTGCGGGTTCTTACATTCACCCCACATTTTTAAGGATTTTGTCCTCAAAATCAGAAACATACCTGTCTCGGAAGTCGGGATACTGCCGGAGAAGCTCGTCCTCTCGCTCCCAAGTTCACTCCTCAGGAGTTCTTCCGGTCCACTGCACTTTGACCATCGGAATGATCTTGCTCCTCAGTTGCTTCTCGCCACGATCGAGAATCTTGAGTGGTCCGACGGGAGTCTTTAGGTTCTCCCGAACCTCCACATCATCCGGTTGCACCACGTGCGAAGGATCCGCTACATACTTGCGAAGCTGAGACACGTGAAACACGTCGTGGATGTTGGCCAAGTTCGGAGGCAAGGCAAGCCGGTGGACAACAGGTCCTACTCTACCAAGTATCTGGTATGGCCCAATGAACCTCGGGCTCAGCTTCCTCACTCCAAGTGCCCGACCAACACCGGTGACAGGTGAAAGTCTCACAAACACGTGCTCGTCCTCACTGAACTCCAGTGGACGATGCCGCATGTAAGAACCTGCACCGTTAATTAAGGAAATTAATTAATTATATATGAGAATTAGGAAATAATTCCATAATTGACCCTAATAATTATTATGAGTCTCTAATAATTATAGTAAGTGATTAAGAATGTTGAAAGTCATTTTTCGGAAGAAAAGTGCCGATACCGGTTCCGCTAGTCGGTATAAATGCGTACCGATAAAGTATCCCAATATGAT